TTAAACATTTTTCTCAAATATTTAAACTCATTCACAGCTTTCTGCTCATCTTCATTTATAGTAACTGTACACTGAGACTTTCTACCCAGTCAAACTCTGTAATTTTGTTCTTTCCATCATTTGCTATTAGTGCTGTATTTTCCATTGCTTCTTCAATCTCAGCTGTAACTGAGTAGTGGACAATACCGTACTATACAGTATAGTATAAGAAAAATAAATGGTAAATATGTATGGTACAGTACTACTGTAATAGGAATATACAGTACAGTCGAATATATCATCTAATTCGATATACCCAGAATCTGGTTTTGTTGAGGGGAGGGGGGATATAGTGATGCTAGTCATCCACTTATGGGCAAGCCCCCAACATTGTCAGCTGATGTCTAATAAAAAGTGGTGAATTTTATTTAAGCAAACTTGGTCTGTACGTATATACAGCTAGACCCCGACTTACGACTACATGGACTTACGTCCATTGGTACTTACGACCTGCTTTGACCGTACGTCCGTCGGGACATATGACTGCGACCGTCGGGACCAAAAATATTTTCAAATGACGTGTGCATTTTCTATACCGAAACGTTTCCGTCCCGGGCAAGAGGGTGGCGCGTCTCGGGTCGCATCGTGGGTACACTCACTCAGTGGAGCGCTTTGTTTGTGTTTGGCTATCGTATCCTATACTGATCGCGCTGTGAACTTTCGTTATTATCGTATTTAATTGACTTTATAATAACTGGAAAGCGTAAAAGTGAGAATGCTGGTGGTGTTCCAAGGAAAAGGAGACAGGCAATTACTTTTGAGATGAAAATGAAGATAATAACACAGTATGAGAATGGAAAAACAGTAGCAACAATCTCACGCGACCTAGGTTTCTCACACTCGACTATATCCACTATTCTGAAGGACAAGGAACGTATTCGTGAAGTAGTGAAAGGAACAACACCTATAAAGGGAACTATAATATCAAAGAGAAGACAAGGTCCTATTCACGATATGGAAAAATTATTGGTGATATGGATAGAAGACCAGACACATAAGTGTGTACCCTTAAGCGTTCTAACCATACAGGCTAAAGCAAGAAGCCTGTTCCAAAGCCTGAAGGAGCAGGCAGGAGATGAATGTGATCAAACCTTTACAGGAAGTCATGGGTGGTTTGATAGATTTAAAAACGCTACAGTCTACACAATGTTAAGGTGAGTGGAGAGGCAGCTAGTGCCGATGTTGGTGCTGCCGAAGCTTTTAAGGAGGAGTTAGATGATGTGATTGTGGAAGGGAATTATTTGCCTGAGCAAATATTCAATGTGGATGAGACTGGATTATTGTGGAAGCGCATGCCTGAGCGGACATACATCCACAAAGAGGCGAAAACAATGCCCGGATTCAAGGCATTCAAGGACAGAATTACACTTCTGTTGGGGGGGGGGAATGTTGCTGGTTTCAAGCTAAAGCCCTTCGTGATCTATCATTCAGAGAACCCCAGGGCTTTTAAACATGTCAGCAAGCACACACTGCCAGTGTTTTATCGCAGTAACAAGAAAGCCTGGATGACCCTAGTACCGTTTGAGGATTGGTTCATGACTTGTTTCATTCCACGAGCCAAGGAGTATTGTCTGCAACAACAGATTCCATTCCAGATTTTACTGATTTTGGATAATGCTCCGGGACACCCACCACACCTGGACGGCATGCACCCTGATGTTAAGGTAGTGTACATTCCACCTAACACTACCTCTATCATCCAACCCATGGATCAAGGTGCTATTGCAGCCGTTAAAGCATATTATTTACGCATGACCTTTGCTCAGGCTGTTGCTGCTACTGAAGGTGAGAAAACGCTCAGAGTTTTGGAATGAGTACAACATTTTGTCATGTATAAAGAACATTAGTGCAGCATGGGATCAGGTTACAAAACATTGCATGAATGGAATATGGAAGAAAATCCTGAAAAGATATGTGAACAGTTTCAAAGGATTTAATGAAAATGAAGTTATTTCGGATATTAGTAACAAGATAGTGGAGTTAGGTAAACAGCTGGAGTTAGAAATTGATAATGAAGATGTTGGACAGTTGGTTGAAAGTGTAGCAGAAGTGCTCAGTAACGAGGATCTTATTGAACTAGATGCACAGAAAATTGCAGAGGAAGAAGAGAGACAAAAGGTAGAAGAAGAACCTGCACCCCCCAAAAAGTTTTCAGTGAAACATATGGCAGAGGCATTTGCTACAATTAATAAAGCAATGCAAATGTTTGATGCCATGGATCAAAATTATGAGCGTTATGCCAAAGTTGACAGAATGATCCAAGATTCGTTTGCTTGCTACAGAGAAATTTATAATGAAAAGAAAAAAAAATGTGCAGTCTAAATTGGACATCTATTTTAAGAAGTCCCCCAGTGCTGTCTCCTCACGCCCCATCAGTGCTGCCTCTTCACTCCCTTAAGATGATCCAATACCTTCAACCAGCAAGTTTCCACAGTACATAAACCTGTCTGAAGGAAGCGACATTGATGACCCACCCAGCCCTGTCTCCTCTTCTGCTTCTTCCAATTAATATAGTCTCCATGTATCCTGTAAATAGAAAATTATGGGGGCCCCGTGTGCATTCAGCTGACTACATTTAAGGTAAGTACTCAGTCACACTGTATCCATTCCTCATTATTTATTACGTTTAGTGTACTGTATTTCATTGTAGATTTTTAATTTTTTTTTTTTTTTAATTTTTTTTTTTATCTATGTCGGACTTACGACCTGGATTTGGGTCCCTAACCCCGTTGTAAGTCGGGGTCTAGCTGTACACCTAAACACAATTTCTGAAAAGCTTGACAGTCTATATTTTCTTTCATAATTGCCCAGATTTCTTGGTCCTTAGAATTTGCTACAGCCCAGTTAGATGCTGGAACACCTGTTGCAACAAATGCTTGCTATTTTTGTATCATTGATATTATATCTTTTAATTTATTCTCAAAATACTGTACAGTACAGGTAGTATATGGTATTTGTTGAAGAAAGTAGTGAATGTTTAATAAAGCTTTTAACTAAGATATTCTCTTACTTGTGAATACTGTAGTTATAATAATCACTCACAAAAATATATTTTCTTGATTATTTTGAGTGCAGTACAGTATAGTACAGTACAGTACAGTACAGTAGAGGGTACTCTATTTTTAACATGAGTGAAATTTGCAGAGAAAGCGATGATTACAAATGATCTTTCTGGTATTAAACATTTATTATGAAAAAACCCAGATACAGTATTTTAATAATGAAGAACTTTTATCTTCAAGTTATACAAGTTCAATATGAGCTCTTTTTGTGGCTGCAAATATCAAAACAGTACAGTACAGAGAAATCTGTTTCCTGTCTACCTAACCTAAGCCCTCCTGACATTTTCTTCTGGGATTGTGTCAAAAAGATTTTTTGTTCCATTATTGCCAGCAGCTTTGGAAATTTATAGAAAAGGATATATGAGGACTGTTAACTACAAATAATATGAAGCAAAATAGAATATTGCTTTAATGTCTTCAGAGCCACAAAAGTAACTCATATTAACTTGGATAGCTTCAAATTAAACTTTTTAGTTATTCTTTATTTCTATATTTTGCTTTTCTCTGTAGCTCAATTACTTTTTTCTTACTAAATGTTTAAAATAATAAAGATAATATGTAATCACCTGGTACGTCAGCTGGGCAAGCCTGGTACCTTGCCGGGCTTATGACATTTCTCCGAGTTACTGTAAAGATGAAAAATAAATCAATAATCAAAGAGACCAATTTTTATTAGTTTGTAAGAAAGAAAGTTATCATAATTCTCTCAGGTAGGCATCACAATTAAAGAAAAGTCATACGTAATTTAAGATGGAAAGAATCTAAAGTAGCAGGTTCCTGTACACTTACCACAACACCATGTATCTACTCCATTATTGTTATTGAAAGAGAGTAAAAGAAATAAATTATAATTCAAACTTTATGTCGGTATATATTAAGCTAGATTATTTACCATTATCTTGTGTGTCCAGTCAGTAATAGTCTGTCTCTCAGGTTGGGGAGTTAAAGTACTGCTGTGCTCTTCTAAGATTCCCTAAGATAAGAGCTGGGGTTAAAAGTACATATTTGTTAATCCTGCATTTAGCTAAAAATATGAAAAATTGCTCACTGATATTTCATTTCTTATCATTTAGGGCAAATGTGATATATAAATAACTAAACATTGGTGCTCATTAAACACCCTAAACCTTTCTGAGAAACCCTCAAGATAACAGAGAGATGTCTGTTGTCCCCGAGGGGTTGTCTGATAGGTCATCACTACATAAAGACAATGTATCTGAATAAATAAAATACATAAGCCTGTACAGTAATAAAATTAAAATATATTGTTGAAATTTTACTATACCTTGTAGATGGTGTAGTTCAGACACACTTCCAGAGCTGTTTCAAATGGCCAGTGCCTGAGTGCTGCTGTTGTGTACATACAGACACATGTGTAAATCTTCACAGTACATGTGTATACACTTATTAAACCATTGTACTCTACACTGCCTTACATTTACATACTGCACTTAAGTATACCTTACACTTAAACTGTGTATTGTAATATATTGTAACTGTTGGTAACTTTTGGCTTCAGCCACCATGGTGTTCCCCAAATTAGTCTGTTAGACTGAGGGTTTACTGTACTGTAATGTTAGTAACTTTACAGGAATAATTTTCATCTGTACTGTACAGCACTTATGGATAAGTATATTGACCTACTCTTGATGTCGGGGAAGCATAAATGTTACTCAAACTAAGTACTGTACATCAATATTGTCACACTTCTTTTACAAGCATAGTTGGTTATATATGTACTGTATCTGTACTAATGATTTTTGTTTTTGTTATTCCTTTAACCCAAGAAGTGCAGCAAAAATTGATCTTTAGTACTTTTCCATGTTGTAAATGTGTTATTACATAGATTGATTTAAGGAAATACAGTTTATTAATCAGATGTAACTGTCATGTGTTCAGAAAGTGTATGGTCTGGCGGCCTGGAAGAGCTGGGTAACGGGAAAGAATGCGGAGCTAGCGGGGGTCTCGTCCTCCCGCAGTATGAAACTAGTCTCAGAGAACTTGCTTTCCATGAACTGTGAAGAACTCAACTATGCCCTCTGTCTCTTCCTCAAAGATCTGAGGAAACCCAATGGGGAAGCCTACCAGCCAGATACCATCTTTTACCTCTTACTGGGTAAGTTCACTACGGTTTGTTGACATAAGCCATTATAACTCAATTCAGTATTTGCCTCAACATGTACTGTATTGTATGTGGATTACTATATTTCTTAGGATTTCTTCTCATAAATTCTTTGAAATTTGAGGATTAATATTCATAGAAACCAGTTAGCAAAATTGCATTCGAAATTAATATGAAAAAGTGGACCAAGAGTAACCATATCCAATCATCTTGTAATAGATCAAATGAGGCGCTTCAAGAAACAGTACAGGGGTAAACAGACACTTATCCCTGTACTATGTATGGCACAGTCTGCCTCTGGCAGTGGACTACTAATGTAGATACCGGGTAATGAGGAAACTATACAAAAGGAAAGCAGCTGCACTAAGGATACACCTGAAATTCAGTCCAGCCACAGTGACCGAGTTAGTGTTGTACAGGGGTCATTCGGGTTAAGGAAAAATAAACAAAAGATTTGAGTCGTAATAAGTTTAAACAGTTGAAGTACTGTTGATATAAAATAGTGAATATATATAGATTAGACTTTAAGGACTTTCAATACTGATCGCTATTTAGTACTTTTACTCACCTAAGCTTGTCACTGATACTGGCTGACACATGGTAGAAAATATATCGCTCAGTGGGTCACTCAGCCAGACACGCAGTCATGGGACCGGCTGAACATAACAAAAAATTTGGCAGTTCTTGGCCCATTAAGCTTAAACTTTTCTTGACTGTCAGCAGCAAATGAAGGTCAGCTTTAAAAACTTATAAATGAATTTAATTTTTTCCAGGCATTCAGCAGCACTTATTTGAGAGTGCAAGGACAGACTGCATCTTCATGGATTTTGGCTTTGAGAAGTTCACCAACAGCGTTGATGAAATTGCCAAGACATTTTTAGGTCAGTTATCAACACATTCTGTGTGGCACATGGAGTAGGTGCTATACTGTACAATACCCCCCCAAGTCATTTTCTTAGATAATGTAGGGTTGCTGAACTTATGCTAACCCATGGAAGTATGGAAAATGGCAATAAAATGTTATTGATGAGGAGTTGAAAATTACTCTTAAGCTCAAGAATGGTAGGACACCTGGAGATGATAAAATCATTCTTGAGATGTTGTGGTTGGGAGGTGCAGTAGTGATTGACTGGCTGACAAAAGTGTACAGGCTATGAATAAAAGAGGGAAGGGTTTCAAAATGTGGCAAGAAAGCATTGAGTTTCTCTACATGAAGGAAAAAGGGAAAGTAAACATTAGCATGTAGGAAGGAGAAGGAATGACCAAAATGGAAATGGTAGGATGGAGCAAAGGATGAACAGTGTATTAGGAGTAAGGGAGATGGACATCCAGACAGCAGCTGTGAGAGAGTGGTAGCAGGAGCATGGCATTGATTGATGAGAAAAATTGGTGCTGGTGGTGGATGGTGCTTATTTGTGTGAAGTAACGGGTGAACCAGGTTTAAAGCCTTGTTGTGGAAGAGGAATACCATAGCAGAATACATCTCTTTCAGTATAGTAAGTACTGTATAAAAGAATTACAAGGTGTGTGTATTTACTCTTTTTTTGGGACCACCTTGCATTAGCTGGGAAAAGACTTGAAAGAGTAAAAAATAAATTAATTGCAGTACTGTACAGTATGTGAATAAGTTTATTTTAGCCTATACAGTAGTACCTGTTGCCAACTCCCATCTTTAATCCTGTGTTTTAGCTTAGAGTTGGTCATCATTTAGTATTTTGTTAGTACACACTGCTAAATTTTTTTTTAACTCATAACTGATGTGTCTAATAATTGTAATATGGATGCCTTGAACCTCGCACACTACATTGTTGTACTTTGTCAAGAAGGTTTTTTATTTCATAATAATATCTCTGCAACAAACAGTACTGGACAGTAAAGTGTTCCACTTTTTAAGAAAATAAGTTAAGGCTTTATCAAACAATGATGCAGAAATTGAGGTCATTTGGAATTCTGAATATTAGTTCACAATGCACCAAATAAATGATATCACTCTAAAAAATACAAAATACTACTTGATGACATGGCATATATATTTTCTTAAACAAATCCGTTAAGGCAGAGAAAATAAAAAAAAACGGATGTCTTATAACCAAGTTTGCAATGATTTTCCTCAGGCCTTACATCGCCAAGTTCGGTTGGAGTGACGAGAATAACAGAAACTATGTTGTGGGAGTGCAGGCAGCTTGGTGCACACACTCCGCAAGTTCTTCTAAACACACTTTTCTATTTCAACACAAAAGTTTTTAAACTCAAGGTATGTTTAATGATTTATAACTGTAATATGCAAAATTAAGCTTTTGACACGTAGGTACGGTATTACATGTGAAGTTTCCTAAATTGACCTTGTAGTATAATAGATTTAATCACTTTTTTACTGATGGACATTTGTTAGAATTACCTAACCTTTTAAGTGAATATATGAAATGTGAAGATTATCGTAGTGTTTAAAACAGATCACACTGTACTAACATTTTGATAAATTCAGATGTCTTATGAAGGTAGTACAGTAGGTAGTATAGTACTGTACAGTACAGTAGTTGAATTAAGAGTCATCTAGTTTTGTCACCAATTTGGTAATGTTTGTAGAAGAGTCCCTGGCCCTTGCCCTTATGTTCATTTGGTGATTTGCTCTAATACTTTGTGTTAGCGAATCAGTTCCTTTAGAAAAATATATAAGCTCACAGGCTGCAACTTGTTTCATCTGTATGTTTGGTTCAATTGTTAGAGCAGTTGTCCTGTAAGTAAGATAATGGATTTGGAAATGACAAACATGGAAGATTGGGCTCCTTCCTTGTACAACAGTCCTTACCCAGCAATAGCAGTGTACAACCCTTCAGTGGGTTACTATCCCACCAAGGTAGTGAAGTAACCCACAAGTTACTGAAAACTAAGAGTTAGGAGCTCAGTGCCTGTGTGGTCACCCTTTATCTAGCTTGTATCTCATAGGAAAAAGACTTGTATGGTGGGAAAAAATATTGACCCCTTGGTCAGCTTTGCCAAAGGAGTTGGTCTCAAGGTATACTGTGTGTGTAAACCTGAAGTTTTTGTAATTTTTTGTAATTTGTAACTTCTACGACTTATCAGCTTACTAGCCATTAGTACAATAAGAAGTCAGAATACCCAGAGAAAATCTGTGATATTTGGTAGTCACATTGATTAACATCTCCTGCATACCCAACCCAGGGATTGAACCCATGACACACTGGGGTAAGCACAGTTTTGCTGATGGTGCTGTATGTTTGTAGGTACAGTATTAAATTATTATTTACCCCCCAATTCACAGTGTTGTACATAATGTCTAATTACTCCTGGCTCTTGGTCTCCCAAGAGGAAGAGACATACACTGGCTACAGGTTAATAGTTGTGTTAAATGTTTGATGGTGTTTCATCTTCAGTGAACCACTTGAAAAAGCAAAAATGAAAACTTCTTTATCATTATGTAAAAATTGTCTCAAAATTTTATGGTTGTTCATGAAATATTGAAGGTTCCCAGAGAAACAAATGTTTTTCACGTTGTGAAAATTAAAGGTAAAACATTAAATTACGTTCTCTCAACTAGAACTTTCAAGATGCGTAGAGACATTTGCAGCAAGAGTTGCATGGAATTATGTCTTTAGAAACCATTTCAGATTGTGCATAGAGTACAAAAATGGCCTCCCAGAGCTGCATCAAGTACACATTTTATCAAGAAACTGAAGAGACTTTTTAAAGGTGAAATTAGATATTATTAAACAACTTGAGCAGTTGACGATCGGCCGTGAGAAGCAAAAAATATCACAATCTTCTCAATAAATCATCATTATCACAATTTTATTGTTCTTTTATGCTTTCTTGCTTGCAGTTAAATTCTTAATGGTTTAATATTATTGAGTGGTAATAATGGTTATATACAGTAGATGGATTTGCTGGTCGCGGTGATGGATGGTCAGTTGACGAATGGCTGTTATTGATGTTGAAAGAGTTTATTTAGCCAGAAAAATACAGATACAGAGTTGATAATAATAACAATATTGACATGGCTGAGCCAGTTGAGAACCTGCCCTCTGTTGAAGGCATGCACACACCTTTCCTTTGTGCAGTATTATATTTACTGGTTAATTTTTATCAATCATAAGTGTTTCTGTATTAAAATATTTCTTTTAGTATATATGGCTGCAAAAATAACTCAACATTGTTTGTGCACATTGGATCCTGAGTGTTTTGATGATAAGTGGCCAACTATGACTTGAGTGCGACCTGGAATGTGAATTGTACATATTTTCTCTGTTTATCTCATTATTTAATTTATTATCATTATCATCATTTACTGTTTAATTATTAGATTTATTCACTGGATGTGTCAAATTTATATACAGGTTGTACCTCTCTAGTCCGGCATTCTGTGGTCCGGAAACTCCCGTGGTCCGGAACGATTTTAGTTTGCCCATGGAGAAAATTAATTTGAGTCTGGAACTTTAGATGTTTGGCTAAATTTGGCCTTATTTACCCTACTTTTTTGGCGAATTACTACCTGTAATGACGCAACATCCTAATAAACCAACGAAAATAACACAGGTAAAGTTAAATAAAAACTAAAAACAACACAGAAAAGTTCTTATGTTCTACAGCTTCAGCTAGAGTTGAACCTGATGGCTTGGCAACTTCGTCATCCGAGTAAAAACACACATAACAACATTAAGGCTGTCTTTATGTTTTCAACTTTACCACGACTGGTGGGGAGAATTTTTTTTTAAATTCAGAAACATTTATTAAAATATATATGAACAGTAATTAAGTGTTGCTTTCATATTCTTATGTAGAGTAATGACGATATGTTTTCACATGTGTGCACTTACAGACGCGATCTCACTTTTTTTTACCATTAATGGTTAGCTACTTCCATTGTTCCATTTATTAACATTAAATTACATTACTTAAAACAACCATATTAATTTTACTACAGCTACAACCAGGGTCTTATTTTCTTCAGTTTTATATGTAGAACCAGTCAGTCACTGGTTTTGTAAACAACGAAAACTATGCTGTCTCGTCTCCTCGTGTGTTTTTATATTCTACGTATTATTAATGAATTGTATTGTTAATTTTGCACACATAAGCATTAATTCAATCAAAAAGACATTCAGTAATAAACATTAATGAATGTTTTGTACACAGAGAAATGGCGCTGTTTACACAATTGGGCACGTCTGAACGTTGGCGGGGCGCTCAAACCCGTCGAAATTCGAGTTTCCACCGTCAAAATTATAAATTATGCAGTGTTTTTTTTGTGTCCAAATAAAAGACGTTGAATTAAAAACTCGCGAAATTTGAGAACCTACTGTACAACATTTAACCCTTCAATATATCTTCAGAGAGACCATAAAGCAGTGAAAGTGGTGCTAGTGCTTCCAAGTGTATGCACAAGTCACTATCTATCCAGGAAAAGGGTGAATTTCCATGGTCCGGAAATTTCCATGGTCTGGCACCGGTCAGGTCCCGAGGTTGCCGGACTAGAGAGGTACAACCTGTATAAAGAAATCCATAACATTACGGGGCATTAGGCTAAGTGTACCATTAATTATCAACCTTCTGTTTAGTGGGAACTTCTCTCATCCAACACGGCTCTGACCAAAGGTTGCCAGGTGAGAGTGGGTAACCAATAATAAAATTAATCTATTATGTTACTCTTCAGACTGTAGAGGAGCACCAAGCACTGTCGTTTGTACAAATTGTGAAACAGTGGAAACGGACAAATGTCGGGCAGGAAGGCACTGTCACGAGAACGACTCTACTTAGATATTATCCAAAGAGATCTATGGATGAAGGTGGGCAAAGAAAATTATTACATTATTAGAAATCATAGTAAGTTTATCACAGAAAGATATACCCTTATGTGGAGTGCACACATATCATCATGGCATGTACAGTTGGAAGAAATTACGGTATTGCAGAGGCAGCTTGCATGTCTTGTATGAAGCTCTGATATCAGTTCTCCCCTTTGCAATGCATCTTTTTCTTTGTCATGGGTTACTATATCTACAGTAAGTGCTGATAATGACCACCCCAACTTATATTGAAAGAATTTCTTTGAAGAGTGAAGGAATGGCATGAAGTGATCAGATGGGAAGTGATGTTAGGAATGGAGTTACTCTTCACACTCTACTGAAAAATTTTTTGCTTCAACAAGAATGTATAACTAGTCAATAGATTCATCCCAGTTGTCAATATTTTTATGAGATAAGTTTTAGCAGAAAAATGTATGAGTTCCATTTATAAGTTTCAAGGACTTTACAGGTTTTAAACTCACGGACTACAGTACAGTATACAGTACATGGATGGTCTAGGCCAGGTTGAGTTCTAAAATGGGAACCTTGTGTGTGTGTGTTTGTGTGTGTGTGTGTGATAAACGGTTTATTAATAAAATTGCAGCCGGTGGCTGAAAATATGCAAACTTACATGTGATTTAGACATAATGATATACGTTCAATATATTTACAGGGCTGTACAGTACATAAATCAGGAGCTGTTTATTATTTTAACAATAGATTTGATGGTGCTATTCTTATATCTATCAGTGTGTATGTGTGTATGATTATTATTATTATTATTATTATTATTATTATTATTATTATTATTATTAAGCTTTTTTCTCATATTCCACCTTAGGTCATTGCTTTTAAAATACAGTATTCCCCCCAAGTTCACGGAGTTTTACTTCACGGTTCTCGGTTATTCGCGGATGACACCCTGGATGTACCCAAGAATGTCTGTGGGTAGTTTTAAAGTTACCGGCATTTACACGCCTGGGACAGGGAGCTATTCGTTCTAGAGACAGTAATTTCCTTTACTTGTATTGTAAATATGTGTGTGTGTGTAGACATACACACTCAAAACACATACAGTGGTCCCTCGATTAACGAACGGTTCGATTAACGAAATTTCGGTTAACGAATTGGCTCCCAAAAGGATTTTCGGTTCCATTAACGAACAAAACTTCGATTAACGACAGCCTTACGAGAAACGTGCTTTGTTTTGCGCATCGGCTGATCGGCTGGTCATCCAATACGGTAATCTGTTCTATGTTTACATTCGTTTCCAGTGGAGTAAATATCAAGAAAGTTGTGCTCTTGAATATTTTTGCATTTTTTATATTAAAATTATTGGTCATTCTGAAATTTAGTTAACATATTGATAATATACAGTGCAGAAATTGTTATGAAACAGGAAGAAGGCATTAGAATCAATGCACTCTGTAAAGAATATGGCATGTCATCATCGACTTCCTCTCCAATCAGCCGTTTGATGTGTAAACAAAGCTGCCGGGAATACGACATACACGCCTCAAAGTAAGTTAAAATACAGTGTTTTTTATTTATTATTGTGCAGTACAGTACTGTATTGTATTTAGTTTATATTTAATGTTTTGTTAATTCTATTACTGGTATACAGTACTTTGTATGTATACTTTTTCTGTGAGTTGGAACCAATTACCCAATATCTCATTGAAATAAAAGATTCAGTTAATGAAATTTTCGGTTAACAGCCAACTGTGTGGAACCAATTGTGTTCGTTAATCGAGGGTCCATTGTACAAATAAATAATAATTGGAAAATTCTCTCACAAATAATCAGAAACAAATTTATTAAAAATGTGACAGTCTTCCCTCAAGTCCGTGCTCTATTAATAAAGGACTGTAATAGAAAACACACACACACACACACTCTAATTGTTTTAAGGGCAAACACATAAAGGGAATACTGTATACATTTCTTTGTACACAAGTAAAAATGTAACCCCTCGTCTGCAAATTTTATTCGTGGATCTGGCTATTTGTGCCATTTTGAGAACCTATCCCCCGCAAATTTGGGGGGGCCCCTTGTACAGTTTGTAAAGTTATTGTCAAGAGCACAAGTCAGTGGTTACAGTACATTTATAAAAGTATTTGGCTGTCTGCCTTCAGAAGTGAGTTATTATTCAGGTTTTTACTAATATAAATTATTCCTTATTTATAATGTTCATATAACTAGCAAATGAAGCTTGTAAATCTGTGTTACAGGTGGAAAAATGAAGAGAAATTATGAAATGCACGAGAATAGAGACGACCCCCTAAGATGCCCTGTCAAGTTGTATGAATTTTACCTTTCTAAATGGTAAGAATAATTTATTTACATTTACACTGTATAAGCAAGTATTTGGTTAAAATTTTAACTTATTAAAAATTAATCCTCTCAAAGGTTTAAAAACTTGGTACAGTACAGATTAGATACTTTTTTATCCTGGCACCTGTTTTTCACAAATCATGCACTTTACAGTATTACCTCACTAAATATGCAGACAGAAAAATCAAGTTAAACCTTAAACATTAGTGACTGGGACTTTGTCATGAGTTAGTTATGCCTTTACATCATTACAAGTACCTGAAAAAGGGATCTTTAGAAACAAGAGACACCATTCAGAGTAAAAGGCTATGAGTTGTGACATCACATTACCTAGACATAGCTGCAACTGATAGTTGAAAACTGGATTACTGCTTATGGCCGAGCAAGATAATAAATGCTGTACTCACAAGTGGACATATTATCATGAATTATGATAAATATTAGTAAAGATTTTCTCTGGGGTACCCTGGGGCTGTGATAAAAGGACATAACCAATTCAGAAATTAGTCCAAGTCACCAACAGTCTCAAGTTTACCTGGTTTTTCAATACAGAGACTTGGTGGGGTATTGTGCCAGTTGGATCAAGTTTGGTCATAAAATGGAATATCTCTCTGTGTCTCTCTCTTTTATTTTGAACTTTATTGGGATGATGTTCCAGGGTAGTGGTCATACTCATTAGGATCTGCAGAGATTATTATTTGTATGGAAATATATTCAGTAAGTGGCCCCGAAGAACCCTTATAATCTCACTCTGGCCTCTACCTCAACAGTTACCCCATTAGCAGCATTTTCCTCTCACCTTTATGTCATTTGGTGTCATGTTCTCCACTAACATCCTTTCCTCTCCTTGTTCTTCCCCTCACCCTCCTCCCACCTTTCTTTGAACTATAAACTGTTTTTAGTCAATCTTTTAGTATATCCATACTACCTGAACAATCCTTGGTCTACTGTCTGCCTGACTTCGCTTGTGCATGTCCTTCTTTTGAATTTTATATTATCTGCTGGTACTTTGGGATTATATATTACAGTATATATATTTTTACAGTCCTGAGAGTGTGCGCAACCAACGGCATATGTACTATGTATATCCTGAGCGATCTTGTGTTCCTGATTCTCCGACCTGGTTTTCGACTCAAGTTGTCCAGCCAGCCACTATCTCCAAGATGTTGCATCGTGCTCTTATGGTGAGAGAAGTACAAGAGTCAATAATGGAATAAAGGCAGTGCTATATTGTTAGTACTACTGAAAACTTTTATAACAGGAAGTCACCTCTCAAAGTGTGTAGGGTGCTGGAAAAACTCTGAAGATTTTCAAGTGTTGTAGTGTCAGTTATGCATTACAGCTTAACCCCCAGTGTGTGTACATGACTCAGATTACTTATGTAAATACCTGTACTGTATTCTTGAGCACTTTTGATACACTGAGGTGCAGGTTTTTCAAAATTATTCTTTTTTATTTTATATATTGACTGTCAGTTGACTTTGATTACATTGCACTAGTAAGGTATGAATTATTTTAATTATTATTTGATCTAGACTACAAATTACTCCATAATCCATTGGCTGGATTAGAGAAGTACAATTTGGGAAAACGTACATTGCATATATATCATCATCATCATCATCATCATCAACAACATGAACATCAACGTTTTCCTGCTGTTTTCCTTGTTTGTTTTACCAAGGGTTCAGCAGGTGGATGGGGTGAGTAGTTATCTTACAAAATTATTTAATGGAAACGTTGGGAAGTCCCTTCTGCTTGCAAGGAGCCCTCGCTTCCTTTGTAAAATTCTGCCAAACCAATCTGATGTAATTTCCTGAGTAATCCAATCTCATTAGTTACTCTTGCAGGTCAGGGGCAAGATTATTGCATGGGGATGGGCTTTCTAGTACCTCATATTTTTGTATGCCTGCAGCATTAACATACACAAGCACAGTAGCTCTGTCTATGGTGTCTTTTCCACCTGACACATCACATTCAAAACTACCGGCCAGTGTTCATATAGGTGTATAGTGCCAGAAGAAGCCAATCTCATGAGAATAGATCTAATCAGGGCTCAAATATTCATTTTAACTGATTTGGAAAAAAAATCACATACTCTAATGCAACATCTTTTCTCCGTTGACTTGGAGCCAGATAATGTTATTCCTCTTCTTATATCTCTTCAACCAACCAACAATGTAGTCACAACAATCTTTAATTTTTGACTGTTCATGAAATTGGTTAGCTTTAGCACACAAAATTGTCCTGAAATGTAAATTTTTCCATACTGGCTGATTTAACTTCAATAAGGTTTATGCTTTTGCTCATGGCCATGTCTGTCTGTCTCACTATCAGCATAAAACTTAAGTCTTTTGTTACATTTCATCATCTAAGTCATAAATTGTTGGTTCCGAGACCATACTGGTCACAGTTTACTTGTTGACTGACAATTATTGAGTTAATGGAATTTCATCTTTTTCTTTGATATTAAGTACTTATGTTTTCTTTTAACACCACTGCACTCACTACCACACTTTTGTGTTTGGTTTTAAGTATTTTACAATCCACTATGTTTTCTTAGTAACAAAGGAGTAATATTGGCAGCACAAGTGTACAGGTGATACTGAGTGAAGGTCCAACACCCAGAAAACATGTAAAAGACATGACATGCCATCAGCTGACCAATCCACTGGTGTGGAACATGTACAAGAATGACACTTTATTTGTATATGTTAATTAACTTAGAGTTGAAGCATTGAAAGATGAGATGGCAGGATGCAGAGGTGGAGGGTTGAATCACCCGGTGAATCATCAGCAGCTAGAACATCTCAGAGCAAATACTATACAGGTGACTTGTGCTGTTTGTATAGTTATACCTGTACAGTAAATCATGTTTAAAGTTACCCTCGACAACGTTGTTTCGTTATAATATCGCTACTCTTTAGATACCCATGATTCCGTCAACGTCCCGCCGATTCGGCATAATGTCGTCAGGGACTACTTTGTATGACGCATCACCCTTTCTCACCCAGTCAGAGGGGAGGAGGAACCACCCTCCGGGTCTCAGTGACTCGCCACCCTCCTCCTCTCCCGCCCTCCTCCTCTGCCACCCTCCTCTTCTCCCGCCCTCCTCCTCTCCCACCCTCCTCCTCTCCACTACCCACCACACACTTGCTCCACCTCTGCCCATCAGTGAGTTTTCAGGAACGGATCCACGACGTTAAGCGAGGACTTACTGTACTTGTAAAATATCTTTTCTTTACAGGCAACTTTGACTTCACAGAGGTATTTCCCTTTTCACATGGCCATATCTGATTCATGATTAGCATAAAAACTTTAGTAATTTGTCACATATTTTAAGCCATAAACTGTGGTTCCTACACCACATTGGTCACTGCGTTTCCATTTTGAGTTTTTGGAGAATTTTAATTTTTTCTTGATGTTTAGTTCTTTATGTTTTGTTTTTGCATTACTACACTCGGTACCTTCATTTTTACATTTGTTTTTATGATATTTTAAAGGTAGAATTCACAATGCTCTGTGAATGACAAAAGAGTAATGTGGTTAGATGTAAATAGAGTATAATTCCTGAGTGATTAATGCCTTTGAGATGAGAAGGAAGAGTAATGCATTACAAAGGTTTTCCAACTATCCAACCAGGAGTGAACTCGTAACAATGGTTTTAAAATAGACAAATTTAGATTTAGGCGCAAAATAGGTAAACATTGGTTTGGAAATAGAGTAGTTGACGAGTGGAACAAGTTACCAAACATCATCATTAACTCGAATACGCTGGATAGCTTCAAACATAGGTTGAATGGATATATGAGTGATAGGGGTTGGGTGTAAATGGGACTGCCCAGTAAGGGCCAATAGGCCTGCTGCAGTTTCCTCCATTCTTATGTTCTTATGTACCCCCTGGGAAGATATTGGAAGCATAATGTGTTGTCTAATGGTAGACCCTGCTGCCATATGGCATCACGAAAACTGTGACCAAGTCCCAGGTTGCTGATCTGAATTTCTGCCTCATTTACACACAATTGCAGGGTCTCAATTGTTTCTCTTACCTTGACAACACAACATACAGTAAGTCCTCGCTTAATGTCGGGGTTACGTTCCTAAAAACGCGATGTTATACGAAACAACGTTAAGCGGATCAATTTTCCTCTTAAGAAATAGATAAAATACGGGAGTTATGTTCCTGAGCCTCCGTTTGCCCCATGAAATACATTACATATACAGAAAATCATTGCTATTTCTATAGAAATTAATGCATACATATACAACTGTAGTATCTTGCTTTATTTAATGGGAGAATGACAAGCACATGGTCGGTCTGGCTGGGCGTTTATTCTCTGCTCTTGGTTACAACTTGCCTAACACATTTCGTGTTTACACAAGCCTAAACACTTTCTGACTTTGATAAGAAGTAACATAATATATAATATATATATTCAATAAAGGCAGCATATAAACATACATATATATAACAACAACTACTAAGTTTGTATTGGTACTCACCGATGGGCGGAGGTGGTAGAGCGAGTGTGTGGTGGGTAGTGAAGCAGAGGAGGTGGATGGCGGGAAGGGAGGAGTATGGTGGGAGCGTAGGAGTATGGTGGGAGCGGAGGAGTATGGTGGGAGCGGAGGAGTATGGTGGGAGCGTAGGAGTATGGTGGGAGCGGAGGAGTATGGTGGGAGCGGAGGAGTATGGTGGGAGCGGAGGAGAAGGGAGCGGAGGAGGCGGTGGGAGCGAGGGAGGCGGGGAGCGGAGGAGTATGGGAGCGGAGGAGTATGGGTGGGAGCGGAGGAGGCGGGGAGCGGGAGGGAGAGGGGAGCGGAGGAGTATAGGGAGAGAGGGAGAGGGCGTGTAGAGGAGGAGGGGTGGTGGGAGCTAGAGGGAGGTGGGGAATGGAGGAGGCGGTGGGGAGCGAGGAGGCGGTGGGGAGCGGAGGAGTAGTGGGGAGCGAGGAGAGTATGGTGGGAGCGGGAGGAGTATGGGGAGCGGAGAGTATGGTGGGAGCGAGGAGGCGGTGGGAGCGGAGGGAGTATGGTGGGAGCGAGGGAGGCGGTGGGGAGCGGAGGGAGTATGGGGAGCGGAGGGAGTATGGGGGAGCGGAGGAGGCGGTGGGAGCAGAGGAGGAGGGCGGGAGAGGAGGAGGGTGGTGAGTCACTGAGACTCTGTGACGAGCCAAGAGAGCATAGTGGGGCCAGACAAGAGAGGGTGATGCACCATATAAAGTAGTCCGTGACGACACAAAACCACGTAGTTTCAGATCACCGGGACGTTAAACGAATTTTTGGTCTCTAAACTTTAGCAATGTACAGTAGCACCGAAACAATGTTAAGAGGGACGACGTTAAGCGCGGACTTACTGTACATATATTGATTCTCACTCTTGATCATTATTTTAAATTTTTGTATGTTTTTATTATTATTATTGTTATAGTGACCCTCCATAATGAACTCAATCCGCTCCAGAAGGTCGTTCGTTAACCGAAAAGTTCGTTAACCGAAACCATTGTTTCAATGGGTTTTTGGGTAATTGGTTCCAGCTCACCGAAAATTTCCTAAATTCAACAAAAATGGTAGAAAAGTTCACTTACTTTGAGGTGTGTATGTAGAAGGCTCCTGGATGATGATGATGATGATGATGGGATTTAGAATGGGGGTGGAGGAGAAGGAAGAAGAGAAGGCATTGGGGTGGAAGAGAAGTCACCCCATGGCGCCATTTCACCCATAAAATTTTAGCTCTCTTGGTGTAATTCAAGATTATTTTCTTTAAATCAACACTGCACTGCATTATATATTGTCAATATGTAAAATATATTTCAAAATGACCAATAATTTGCTTGGAAACACAGAAAAAAAGCGTTTAGTTGAAGAGAGTCTCAAGCAAGATGTTACCTCCAGTGAAAACAGAGAAAGACTAACTCCTGTTTGCTGTGTTAAGAGGCTGGATGTCGCCATTAAACTAGTCACTTTACCTTCAATTATGTTCAATAATTGTTAAAATGACTAAAAAATTGAATACTAAACTTTAAAATTATTGAATAGTATAAACTTCTTGATATTTACTAAAATAGTAAGGAATTTAAGCCCTAGAACCGATTAATGTATTGGCGGACTGATACTAAAGCTGGTGTTCGGTGCAAGCGAAAACATGTTGAAGTGGAATTAAGAACTCCGTTTTTTTTCGTTAACGAATTGAAGATCATATGGAAGGCAGTTCGTTAATCGAAATTCGTTAACCGAGGTGTTAACGAGGGTCACTGTATTATTATTATTATTATTATCATCATTATTATTATTTCAATACTTATATTTTTTATACATTTTATTTATTATGAATTTCTGTATTATTGTTATTATTATTATTATTATTATTATTATTAAATTTTTGCTCCCCAGACCCCGATGTGGGTCATTGACCTGTGCCCGGGTGTGCTAATCTCAGTAAAAAAAAAAATATATATATAATAATAAAGTACTGTACTGCAGTAATTTTCTCCAATTCAAACTCCACAGAAGGATGTATCTTTCTTTATTGTCAGAGTATAGAGCTGCAGTGCTGGGTGATTACAGGAAAAAAGAAAGTTAAGAGTAACAAAAATTTATTCTGAACTGTGACAGAAAGTGGTGCTCACAAAGTTGTTTTGGTCACTCAGAATGAGTATCCACTGAGCTGGCTTATGCAGTAAACACTGGCAACATCACTTTACTACCTATAAGCTGTGGGAAGAAATAATCCAAGAAAGTTGGGGTTTTGTGAATTAATAAAGGTAATACTGTAATTTATAAGAATCATTGTACAGTACCAAGGAATAATCATACTTTGGGTAAGTTTGGGATGGTTGATGATGCAGCTAAGGCAAGAAGTTCTTCAGTGAGTCAGTCTGTTTGTCAAGGTTGGCATTCACAGAGCTGGCTGATGTAGCGTAAGGTGCCAGAGGTTGTAGTACTGTACTGTATTAAAACAAAATTAAGCGAGACTCCTGTGGATAAGAATGGAGTTGGTCCCAGAAATGTCTGCCTGTTTACATTGTGTTTGAAAATAAATATGAGTGATATTATGCCCAGTTCCTGTCTAAAACTATTCATTCTTCACAAATTACAACCTTGTTTCAACAACAGGAAATTAAACCTCATCGTCCTGGAGAAACATTATTGACCTAGAGAGCAAAGGTTGAACTACAAACTTACAGGTTTTGATTCTTCTTTTTTATCTTTGTTTCATTTTTAAAGACATTAAACATTAACGAAGCAGAACTTGATTAAACAAACATGCTGTACAGGTGCTCCTCTACTTACGAATGTTTTACGTTCCTGAGGCTTGTCTGTAAGTCCAACTTTACTCTTGTAGATACCAAACATATTGAAAAAAATTAAAAGATTATGGATATTTAGTACAGCTATACCCTTTAATACAGCCTTAAAACCTGGCTCACTCTTCTTCTCTTAGGTAATGTTTGTTCTATCTGGAATTTTCTTCAAAATAATCCAGTCTCATCCACATTAAACAACTGTTCTGGCAGGTAACCCCCCTCAGTGATGATGTTTGTATCTCTGAAAGTTTGTAAGTTGAATGTTCTTAAGTAGAGGAGCACCTGTATAAGATAAGAGCAAATTACAGAATAGTGATAT